AAGCGAGGTGTGCGCGTTTTGCGTACACCTGAAAAGCGCAATGAAAAGCAGCAGCGTACAGGTGCATGGTCGGAGTCCACGCTGGTGTTCCAGATGTACGTTTAGCACAGGGTCCAAATCCCAAACCGTTTCCAATGCGACGAAGGACGACGAGTCCACGCTGGTGTTCCAGATGTACGTTTAGCACAGGGTCCAAATCCCAAACCGTTTCCAATGCGACCGAAGGACGACCTTACGGGACTTAAACTGATTAAAAAGCTACGGAATGCTGAAACTCCCGGGATCCCCAGCACAACTCTGTTAACGACCTGGATGAATATGACACACCTACACGAGGTAAAATATAATACAAGCGCATAAACGACTCCCCCTATCTCGACTCTCGAGTATCTCGGTTGGCACACAAAAACGACCCCGGAGTACTAATGAAACTCAAAAGTAACTAAGACAGCTAACACAATAATCGGACAGCCCCGGATCTCAATCGGAAACTTTCGCAAACAACACGTAGCACAGGATGATGCGAACACCGAGGCCTCGACTTAGCAAAGGAGCCATTTACAGAACACCAGGTCTAAGGGACGATTAAAACTCACCTGGTAGCGTCATATTGTCAACGGTAAAAACAACCTACCACTAAAATTAGAAAATCCTACCCCTATAACTCTCCCACTGGACAGCCGCCACTCTACCGAATAAAACAGGTTGGCTGATACAATATTAGTCTTCGCAGGTCCGATTCGCCACTTTGCACCACTCGCAACTGCGGATAGCAAACACCTATAGCCTACACCCAATCGAACGTGTGACACTGGTTTGTTGTAGGACAAAAATGTCTCGCATTCTAAAATTCCGCGTCATGCACTACAGGAACCAGTCATTTCCATCCGAGCGACTTACCTAACAAGCAAGTAACCGGGTACGCCTAACGGCAGGTACCCTAACAAACGTCAAACTGTAATCCAACCATAACTTACGCATAATACCAATCGAGCTATACGGTTTTTCCCGCTATTGTCAATGCGGCCGAGCAACTCTCGTGAAGCGACATGGACCCCAAATCGCAATCTGCCGCCGGGTCCCCACACCCGAGTAACGACAACCATAATACATAATTTTCATCTGTATGTTAGGGAGTATAAAACGGTTGCGGACCGACATTCCAACAGAGCACGACGGACTGGATACTAGAGGTTTCACCTAGAATTTCCTGGAAACGGAAGTGCAGCACGTCACCCGCCGGAGACCACCTGAGGACTACCGACTGCCCATAGCCTTAACAGAACTCCGCTCAATGACACCAACGAATAGCGTTTCTGCAGGCACAACTACCACTGCAGGTTTGTAGAGTTTCGCAACGGTGCTAACTGAACAATTGGATAATCAAATCATCACCGGGAACCACTAGTCTGCGTATACATTTATTGGACGGGGACATCACCACCCTGTCTATACCTGAAATTATACATAGTTACTTGATGCACGATCCAGGTGCAGGAAGTTACGTCTGCCCAAACATGATTATCTTTGATTGAAGACGTGGGTCGACCAAAACGGTCCCCGATAAACTGAGTTTTGCTGCCGCAACATTGAGTCTTTCGGGTCTTATGCAACGCAAGACTTCATACTTTATACCAGAAAGACTATAAAATAAGGGCTGATCTTATTCCTAAGTCACCTAGTCCTAGGAAGCCTTTGGAAGTACCTGTGTTCCGGGGTCTCCGAGAGAATCCTCGTGGTTGGGGAACGTGCTGATGCCTTTCATCCATTCAAAACACCTGTGGCGACCGAAACAAACGTATGAGCGCGATGAAACACATAGTTGAACAAAAGGCAATCACAGAGTAACGGGCATGTATTTTACAGTAATGGGATAAAAATGTGTCAAATGCACTATTCATGCTTTGAAATGAAGTTGCTTATGTCATTGGGAAGCGGAGCGCTCTTATCGTTGTTGCCAACCATTACCGGCATATGGAGTAGGGCGAGTATACTGGGCTGCGGCAGGGGATGCCCGCATAGGGCCGCCGCCATACGCCTGTTGCTGATAATTTCCAAAACCGTCGGCTACACCAGGCCAATTGCTAGCACCACTGTTATCATAACCACCGTAACCTAGAAGAGATACTTATGTTCGATAATTTGTACCACAAACTCACCGTATCCAGCGTTATTGTACTGATACTGCTGACTTTGTTGACCGTAGGGCTGGCTATAGCCCTGGTCCCAAGACTGCTGGTATCCCATGTTTTGAGTATCATTCCATCCTTGACTATATTCCACACGAGCCGGAGGTGGCTTTGAACGAACCTTGTTCATTTCCTCGCGGCTAAGGGCTTTACGGACATCAGCTTTGTGACCATTAATGGTATGGGGACGAGCAAGTATCACTTTATCGACGCTATCGGTGTCATCGAAGGTTACAAATGCAAATCCCCGAGACGTGTTGGTATCTTTAGCCATTACAATCTGGGCATCGGTAACTGTTCCATACTGTCCGAAATACTCAGCCAGGTCGTCATTAGTTACGTCCTTCTTGAGGCCACCGACAAATATCTTCTTCACAGCAGCATGCACTTCCGGACTAGTTTCTTCTCTAGGCATGGCGCGCTTAGAGTCTACTTCTTTGCCATCTAGTTTGTGAGGGCGGTTGGCCTGGGCTTTATCTACAGAGGCAGCTTCTTTAAAAGTGACGAAACCAAAGCCACGGGATTTATTGGAGCGAGGATCCTTCATAACGACAACATCTGTAATTTCACCCCATTGACTATAATAAGACCGTAGTGATTCTTCATTAGTCTTAGGATTCAAGCCACCGACAAACAATTTCTTGTCCTGATCAGCCTTAGAATCACCAACAGGACGCATAGTAGCTTATATTCTAAAAAAATTATACGTATAACGTCATACTGCAGGCTAACTAACCTTAGTAATTACCTGCTGCACCGGAACTTCGGCCCGAGAGACGTACAAGATGGCGAACGAAACCAAGATGAACGGATGTGCACCAACGGGGCGACTAAAACAATTGTCCCCATTCGTTAAGTTGTAAAACGCATGTTTTGAGTTAAAATTATATCACAACTTGCCGAAAAATCCAAAGGATCCGATGATAGGCGGAAGAAGCTCAGTCATCGAATACCGCGGTTATTCCAAATTTTCAGTCGTCGCTCATCTGGAACCAAAATGGCACTTTCCAAAGACGACTTCAGCTCGCACATTTCGCGGGTTTATTTCGGACTCGATGGAACGGGCAGTGCAGTTCACTGCAGTGTACTACAGTACGGAAGAGCAGAGCCAAGCACAGTGGACTAGATTAGAGAACGGTACTGCACAGCACAGCACAGCATAACGCAGTACAGCAGAGTACAGTACATTACAGCACAATACAGTACAGAACAGTGCATTACAGTACAGTGCATTACAGTACAGCACAGCACAATACAGTGCAGTACAGTACACTATAGTACAATGCAGTGCAATACAGTACAACACAATGTAGTACATTACAGTAAAATACCGTACAGAAGAGTACACTACAGCACTACGATAAACTACAGTACACTATAGTACGGTGCAGTACAGTACGGTACAGTCCTGGTGACCAGGTTTTGGTCGTCCGAGTACGGAGCCCATAGTAACTGCAACTGGTAGAGCAGCCGTCGGCCGTTTCGTTGAGACTGTGTGGTTCGTAGCATTGTTTGACGTCGGCCACCAAAAATGGCACGTGAAGTTGAAGGGAACTCTCATATTTTGAAACTGAAGACGGATGATACTTACTGCTTTCGGAATTTTCCAACTGCGAACCTGAAGATCGTTCCACGTTTTGCAATGTTATTTTTTACTTCACTTGTAAGGAGTGGCGGAAGACAGCGTTAAATAGAGGAGGTGCTATGCAGATTTCTTAACGGCTATACAATGAAAATGCAGGGTTACCTTTGGACGGAAATGGACGTATGGTGGATTTTTTGTGGGCGGATTTATCTGATACTGTTAGACTGACTGTCCACACCGTTCCAGTGCTCAGAGCCGAGAAAAGAACGCCGACAAGGAACACAATAGCTTCATTGTGACAAGCGAGTTCGGGTGCAAAATGTGCAACTTCCTCGAGCTAACTATGGAAGAGGCACTGAAGGGCGCTATTTGACTTCAACTCAAGGATGCCTGATAAGCATTTATTGAGGCTTCAGGGTCTCAGTGGGTTTCTGATATTCCGGGATAACCTTAGCGCATCTGAGCTTTCTGATACCTCAACCTTTTGGCCGTTCAACATTCAACTTCAATCAAGTTCTAAAGAGTTCACCAGTTTTCTAGCGTGACTGTCATGGCAGTTCAGTTGAAGTCATGAATCCTTCCTGGGGGGTACATGTGAAAAAGTGGCTATTGTTGCTGGTCTTGGGAGAACAAAGAATTTGAGCGGCAGGGTGAAGTCTTAAAACTCATCTTCCGCTTTTTGGATAGGACGCCCAGTCAGCCGTAGTTGATCGACATCCCCTTTCTGACTGGCGATCCTGCACAAATACCATAAAGCAATTCACCGATTCTTTTGAGAACAAATCGTAGAGTCACGTTTCCGTGCCCATAGCGATAGTCTCTCACAGGTACGCAGTTAATAGGCTTACTCTCCAACATGTAGAGGATTGACCAAAACGTTGGCTTCCATTATGTTGGTGATTAAAACACGTAAATATTAGAAGGCCAATAAGTTTCAACCGTGTGTCCATCTTACCATCTTCTGGGAAGCGGCCATCCGAAGACTTCCGACTATGAGTCGCTCTATAATTTACCACGAACGTATCCAAGATACCTAACAAGTTCCAATCAACTTCTGCATTTGTTAACGTGCGTACGAAATTCTGGACGGAATGGTTTAGTGGTAACATGTGTGATGCCGTGACTTCAAAAATGATTTCACGCAATCACGGATTGCTACGCGGGATCGAGACTTTCGCCCAAGTTTCCCGGGTCAGTTTTGTTCTTGTCGTTCGGCGGCTGCCTTTCACCCGAAAGACACAAGTAAAAGGGTGTAGCACTACTCCTTAAGTTTCCAGCGCGGGGCAGTAAGTTGGCCAGAGCGAGGAATTGCATGATAAATTCTCCAAAATACTTTAAACTGGGTACTAGATGGAGCGTGCACTTTTTCGGAAGGTTATTCCACGCAACTAATACCCAAAAATGATAAACAATTTGCCTAATGATAATACGTTCTCTGAGCTTGAAAATCCTCTAAAATGCACCCGCCGCTATTAGCTGGGTCAACAGTGAAAAACGTGTTGACCAAAACTTGCTCAAATAGAGCCTAAGTAAGTATTAGGTCTCCTCGGGAGCGACGGTACTCCAGAGGAAATAGGTCGAGCACCACGAGATGCGTTTCATGGTCCAAGGATTTAAAGCCGACAACCATTTTCGTAGCAGCTCGCTGGACACGCTCAATGAGGGTTACGTCCCTGTTGCGTCCCAAGAGAAATCTCGGCTGGCATATTCAAGAAGCGGTCTGACGTAGGCCTTATGGAGTATTTGGAAGTCATTCAGAGGAAGGTGCCCGTACAACGACCACTGCTTCGCAGAGTCTACATCCACTTGGAGGGCAATGGCGTTGGAACTCCAAGATTCCGAATCTTCCGCAAAAAGTAACTATCCGATAAGAGTCTCCCATCCTTGTTGTTGATTCCGCCTGCGAATCAACGGTGGCCAGCGGTAACTTTCCTTGTTTTCTGACTACTCATGAGTAACGTGACTCGCACCTGTTTATTATGACACCGTTTCTTTTTCTTGCCGCTCGTTTTCCTCCTGTTTCCTCCCGGCTTAGGGTCCGCTTATGCCTCAGTAACTGATGTCAATACTTAATTTGCCCGTCCGCCATTGCTTACAAGTTCGTCTGGATTGCACCTATTCACGAGCGTCCACGCCGACCGAAAAGCGCGCCGACCGGGTATCGAACCTAGAGTCTGCGGACAGCAGGTGAACGCGTCACCGACTACACCAACCGGACACCCAACATGGCTGATTATTTTGTATTACCTATGTATCGTACCTGGCAGATAGCCCTTGCTGAGCTTTGTTTTAAACTGGCGAAAGCGCGCAATCTGACCTTTCACGCGACACGAGCGGCTGCGTCGACGCCAACTGAAAGACAGTCCTTCACATCCCGAAGGTACTGGCTCCTGCGCCGTTACGTCCAACTCACACTGTCAGACTGCCCCGATACGTATGTTTGTACATCGTTCGACACTTACTCCTTGTTGCCCCTATAGTAATCCGTGCTGTGACATTGACTACTTCCCGCTCCTGCAGATTGCGTCATTGTTGATTGTACGTTTTCTTAATTCATGATGCTTACTAATCCGTTTTTCTGTAGAACCAGTTCCTGTCAGTCTTCAATATATCATCTGCTGCCCCACGTCTGTCTGCTCCTATTGACTACTGGCTACGAACTGCGTATATAATCCTGTGAGACACTTAACCGTCCGGATCTTACACTTGTCTCGGGTTTGTGTCCATAAATAGGGGCGTATTTGTCACTCGAGTATCCTTTGGGAGAAATCTGTGTTGAACTTAAGAAATCAAGAGTCGGAAGTGAATGGTGATCTAGAATGGCTCGCTTCAGAGCGCGTCCCATCACCGTGCACTGCACGCTAGTGAGGGTTTTTGAACTGAAGCAACTGGATGATAATCGGGCACTAATTTGCGTAGCAATCAGTCACCAAACTGATTCATTGAGTACGATTGTCAGACACAAGAGTTTTCGGGATACAGAATGTGGAAACCAAATGACGCGGTCTAGTGATGGTTGCCATCGTGGTTGTCTCAGACATGTGAGTGACTTCGCGCCAGTTACTGAATACACCAAGAACCATGAGGAAGCTCTGTTCATTAATAGTTTCAAAAATCCACATGGATACGCAACCATGGATTTTCTGATTGTGACTGGCTGCAGTAGTGGCGCTCTGCAGACTTCTGTAGTACGCCGTCATTCTTGGTGGCATCGTGGTCTTGGTTGAAAGCCACCGGTAGCTGGTTCATGATCTCCAACACCAAGGCGTGGAATTCCGGTTCGACGGAAGCAGTTGCTTTTATCGTGGTTCTGACCGCCTTCGTTTGCTTCTTGACATCCCGGTTTGGGTGCGTCTTCGACCAATTTTCCGCGTCCGGCACTGGCTTCCCTTTTTTCACATGGATTGCAAAATAAATATTTGTTTTCCGGATATGATTGCACAAAATGCCATTTACCGTTTTGCTGGCATACCTATGGAGGATTTTCCTTAATCGAGTTCGTCGCGTCGGGAGGTTATAATAATGACTATATTTTTAGTGTTTATTCCCAACTTGTGGGTGTTATACCGTTAGGTATGATCATACTGCTACATTCAGAATAAAAGCGTGGCTGGCGGGCATTTTTGGTACTGGGGAGGGATGTAGGAAAAGGGACAGCTTTATAGGCGGTGGGCATCATCCGATACAGGCGTGGTGACCACTAAACCGGCACGGGGAAAGCAGTGCAATTACCGTGAGTTTTTTGAGAGGATATCGAGCAAGATCATATCATCAGGATTTGGAGGCTGTGGGCGAAGGAGAAGGAGGTTGAAACAAGAGGCTTTCTGTCTGACGAATGACAAGAAAAGTGCGTGTGTGTGGAAATGAGGAACGAGAACATCGGATTTAGTGGAGCAGCAGATTGTGAGTCATTCATCCGGTCAAACTGAATTAGAACGTAAAGCCACCGCTGAGGCCTCGTGGCCCTGGACTATTGGGCTCCTGTCCAGGGTCACGAAAACTGTAAATAAGGATGGTGATGAAGTGGAGGAATTAGCAAAGCGGATTCGTGGTAACAGGGATCTCGGGAATATGGTGTACAGTGGAACTGTAGA